TCCAAGGCTGTGCTCTCCATCTCCCTGCAGACCAGGGAGACGGGGAGCAGCTTTTCTCGCCCCGGAGGACAGGGGCGGTGGACCGCGGTGCATCTGGGTGTCCCGCCGCTCCTGTCCTCCGGGGCGAGAAAAGCCCCGTTCGTAACTGCGGATCCGACGTAAGTCGGATCCGCGTAACTCGGGGACTGCCTGTATTTTCTTCCTACCCAATGCTAAAACCTCCAGTTTCTAACCCTCAAAATACGTAGGCTGTGTCTAAACTGCACCCCCTTTCCGGGAAAAGGGTGCAGATTAGGCTCCTGTCCTCCGGGGCGAGAAAAGCCCCGTTCGTAACTGCGGATCCGACGTAAGTCGGATCCGCGTAACTCGGGGACTGCCTGTATTTTCTTCCTACCCAATGCTAAAACCTCCAGTTTCTAACCCTCAAAATACGTAGGCTGTGTCTAAACTGCACCCCCTTTCCGGGAAAAGGGTGCAGATTAGACAAGTCAGAATTGCAAATGAAGCGGGGGATTTAAATCTCTCCTGCTTCATTTGTATAAACATGGCTGCCACTTTTTTCCAGCTCAGGGCTTTGCCAGAGAAAAGCACCAGTCTAGACGGGATCTTTCGGAAAATAAAGCCTTTTCCGAAAGATCCCTTATTCCTGATTTTAAGAGGAATAAGGGAACTTTCGGAAAAGGCTTTATTTTCTGAAAGATCCCATCTAGACTGGTGCTTTTCTCCGGCAAAGCCCTGTCCGGCAACTGCTCCTGTCCACGGGAGGTCCGAGCTCCCCATGGAGCAGCCTCTGCCCCTGCTGAGCCTGGACTGTCCACAGCAAGCCTCACACAAGCCTGGGATGTGTAGCAGCCTCTGTCCGTGGGGAGCTTGGAGCCTCTGCAGACAGGGGTTGCTGCCACAAAGCAGCCTCTGCCTGTGTCTGGCCCAGGCTCGCTGCAGAGAGAAGCTGCTCTGTGACAGCCTCCCTTGCTCCTCCTGCCCCATGCTGCTGCCTCTTATAGAGGCAACAGTGGAAGGGCAGGGCAGGCTTTTAAGCTGGTTTCCTGCAGCACTGGGTCCAGCTCCCCCCACTTGCTGCTTTTGATACAGAGGCAGCAAGTGGGGGGATGTGAGTGGTCGAGAAGATTAACTGAAAAGCCTAGGGCTAGGCTTATCAGTTAATCGTATACTCAACTACTCATTTACATCCCTACTTTCCATATCAAATTACATTAGTTCTACTGCTTACACCTCCATTTTTTGTATTTGTTTTATAGTGCTCATAGGTCTGGCTTACCACCGTGTGCAGAGCCCTGCATATAGGTAGAGCCCTGCATGGATATAAAATTGGTGTCCACATCTGCATCTGTAAAAATGATCCATGGATATCCACATCTACATCTATGGATGTAGATGCCTGTGGATATAAAGCAGATATCTGCAAATGTACCAGGTTTTAGATAAAATACTTGCATCCATATCCATAACTGCAAAAATGAACCACGAATCTATGTATCCACATCTGTGGTTGAGGATACCAGTGGATATCTGTGGATTTGCGGGGCTCTACATATAGGCTTGAGCATTTTATTCTTGAACTTCGCACAGTTTGGTAAACGGCTTTACATGGTTGCTTCTTTGCCTTTTGTCTTACATCAACAAAGAATTCTGCTACTATTGAGCTGTATCAGTACAGCTGTATCTGCACAGAACTGCTGGACAGAGCCTGATCACTTATCTAGAAGCCAGGCTAGTGATAAAAATCTCTCTTGGTTTCTCTTCATCCAGAGGATACTTGCTAAAGAGCCAAACTTTTGTTGGCTGCCTAAATTTCCACAATTTGATTTTTGTGAAACTAATTTCAGTCAAGAACCCGTATGAATTGTAATAATTCTTGTTAATAGGAGGCACAGGTCCTTCATCTGATACTGGCTGGGGATGCATGCTGCGATGTGGACAAATGATGCTGGCACAGGCTCTCATCTGCAAGCATTTAGGAAGGGGTGAGCATACTGTTATTTTGTGAGAGATGTTAGGAGGCTCTGTTCGTTATTTGGGAGGCATTTAACTTTGGCATGAAAGCCCAGTATTGTAGACATCAGCAGAGAGATGTAGGGCTAAACAACTAGTGAAAGTCTCTTTAGAATGATTGGCAGAAATTGTTAGTAATTCTGTCTCCATAAAAGAGGAAGCTGTTAGTGTTTCGTTTCTGACCCAGCGGGGTGAATAGGTTTAATAGTTAAGCAGGAAAAGAAAAACAAAGATATACAAAGTGGGATTCCTGTCTTTATTATTTGATAGAGCTTTGCATGACTAATAATGAAGCTGGTGTCTGGGTGAACTGCAGCCACCTTACTGATTTCCTGTCATCTTGTTCAGTACTTATGTGGTGCCCAAATTGTCCTAGTTGCTTTTTAGGCAAAATAAAGAAGAGTTCTGTGTAGCTTGATGGTTTCACTCTTTCACTAATGGAAGTGGGCCTGATAAAAGGCATGACCTCATCTGTATCACCACTCTAATATCCTGGGACCAACATGGCTACAACAATATTGCAGGCAAATAGTCTGGAGGCAAGGAAGCTATCTGCATAAGACCCCACTGCCACAGAATTCACTGAGTGGGGACCTATACACCTGTATGAACATTTGAGGAATACAGCCAAGGTGATGCTAGGCCTGGTCTACATGCAGTTTTTGTATCCATTCAGCTATTGTGGTTAGGGATGTCAGTACAGACTGTACTGTAGACACCTAGGGTATGTCTAGACTATGTGCCTCTGCTGACCGAGGCATATAAATTAGACATACCGACATAGTCATTGCCGACCGAGGCATGTAAATTAGATATACCGACATAGTCAATGAAGCTGGAATTTAAATATCCCCCACTTCATTAGAATAAAAATGGCCACCGCGTTGTGCCAGCTCAGCTGTTTGTCAGCACAAAGCGGCAGTCAAGATGGGGATCGGTCCAGCAAGGAAAGCCTTTGCCGACTGATCCCTGATGCCTCGTGCAACGAGGTTTACAGGATCGGTTTGCAAAGGCTTTCCTTGCCGACTGATCCTCGTCTTGACTGCCGCTTTGTGCTGACAAACAGCTGAGCTGGCACAACGTGGCGGCCATTTTTATTCTATTGAAGCAGGGGATATTTAAATCCCTGCTTCATTGATTATGTCGGTATGTCTAATTTACATGCCTCGGTCGGCAGAAGCATGTAGACTACACATACCCCTATAGACTGACATAACTGAGTCCATAGTAAAGAGTGTGCCACTCCTAACTAGATCTGTTTCTAAACTGATAGTGGACAAAAATTGTGTAGACAAGTTCTTATTGTCTCCTTCTTATGATCAAGATTTTTGTTAAAATATTCTTTTTTGGGTTGTATTTTAGAAAAGCAATCTCTTCCATTTTATTATTTTATTTTATTATTCATTTTGCATTCAGGAATAAATTACGCACCTTTTCTATGGCAGAACAACACAGTCTTCCTAAAAGCTATGATCGTGATTTTGTCATTTTCATGATATTTTCTCTTTTCTGCATTTGGGGCCAGACCTTGTTCAATCCAACTGGTGTAAACTGAAGTGCGGGGGAAGCTCCACTCATGATTGTGTAATATAAAATGCTAGATAGAGTTTGAAGTGTGTCAGTTAATCTGTATAACCTTTTCCCTGTAAGATTGGCATTGGGAGAGACACAAAAAACAACCTGAGGAATATCACAAGATTTTGCGATGCTTCCTAGACAGAAAAGATTGCTGTTATTCTATCCATCAAATGGGTAAGGACAAGTATCACCTTCTTTGTATGCCTCAAGTTGCTAATGTGTCTTAAGATGTATTTAATTTAAAAATATATAATAAATCACAGGACAGAAGAAGGATTTTAGTGACAAAGTGAATGTGTGTGTATGTATATATAGAAGATTTAATGCATATCATATGCACACTGAGGTATAAATCCAGCATGTACAACAGAAAGAACAACTAACTCTGGATAAAATATATGACTGTTGGGTACCAGACTTAATATTAAATTTCAAGTTTACCAGCATATAATCTCTTCCTCTGGTCCATAGCTTGTAATGTGGGGTGCTAGTAATCAAAATGCAGTTTAGAGCAGAGGTGCTCAAGATACGGCCTGTGGGCTGAATGTGGCCTGCCAAGCCACAATCTGGCCTACAGCCACTTCGCCAGGACCTTTAGGCACAGAGCAGCTCACACTGCTTTAAATGGCTGACTGCTTTCTGCTCTGGATGCTGGAGAGGGTGGGGAGAAGCTTCGTGCGCTGCCCCCTACCCCTCCAGTAAAATCTCTGAGCTCCCATTGGTCATTTTCTGGCCAAGGGAACTCAGAAATTTTGCTGGGATGGGGGAGGGGGGAATGTGAACCCTTCTCCCTCTCTCTTCCCCCTCCCTCCCCACCCTGCTGGAGAACAGCCATTTTGACCAACGGGGGGCTGCAGTAGACAGGCAGAGAGCCTGCCTCGGTCCTGCAGGGCTGCTGACCAGAGCCTGCATCTGGCACCCCATCTCCTCTTCCCCCTGCTACCTGCCCCAAGCCACCACCCCTTCCTTCCCCATATCACCACCCAAGCCCTCTGTACCCTCTCTCCCCACCCCCTGCAAGTCACATCTCCCTCAGAGACCCTGTACCTCCTCCCACGTGCCTTTTCCAGGCCAGAATTCTCTCCTGCCCCAGATTACAACCACCTACTTCACCCAAACTCCCTCTCAGACCCCTCACTCTCCTAACCCGAGCTCCCTTCTGCATCCAACCTCTGTCCAAGACTCCACTCCCCCTCCATAGAAGTGTGGCTCTTAATCACTTACCAAAATCTTGGAGCGGCTCCCCCATTAAAAATTATTGTCCACCCCTGGTTTAGAGGCTTCTGTTCAATTACAGAAATGTATCTTCATTGCGGCTGTAAAAAGAGAATAGATTACATACCATCATATTATTGATAGTATAATATTTTACAATAATTCTAGAATGTGTGCAACAAAATATTTATAGGATATGCCATTTAACAATTGTCCTCACCTGGTATTTATGTTCTCTTTTGTGTGTTTTGTTTCTAATAAAAACAGCACAGATGGGTGTAGGAGAGGGGAAGTCGATTGGAGAATGGTTTGGACCAAATACAGTTGCCCAGGTGCTAAAGTAAGCAAAACAACATATGTATTTAACCAGAATAGTTCAATTCCAATGAAGCATAGCTACCTAAAAGTGGTGTTCTCCAGTTCTGCATTTTAAAACAATGTAAAGTTTGAAGGTGTTGGCTTAGACCCATGTATAGTCTGAACTGAGATCCTGCTTTTACTTGATTATGTGCAAGGTTTATTTGAGGCAGAGGTCACATGGCTTTTCCATGTCAGATAGGGACAGGTATGCCCCTAAATCAAATACGTGAGATAACAATGTGTTTCTCCTAAACACGTTTTATATGAGAAAATATGTTATGTGTCATAAATGTGCCCAGATTTTGAAAATAGGTTATATTTATTTATTTTACACTGATAGTATAAAGTGATTAAATTCAAATTACATTTTAATTTTACCTGCTTAAAATAGAGTTTAACAATGAAACCTGCATAGTGGTTACATCACAGAACACCAAGGCAGTGTGTTATTTTAAGAATGTTCTCTTGAACCACATAAAATAGTACAGTGGACTCAGCATAGTGACTGTGACTAAACCTTCTTGTACGCATTTTCTTTCTTTATTTAATCTGGGACTGTGATTTATGCCAGATTTCTGGGCTGATCCTATGCATGCTTATGCACATCAGTAGTTCCACTGAACTCCCATAGAATGACTCATATATAAAGTTACTTACATGCCAAGTAGATTGCAAGCTCTTTGGGGCAGAGACTGTCCCTTTGTTTTATATTATACAGCACTTAACACAATGGGATACTGCATTATGACTGGGGCTCCTAGGTGTACCTGCAACACACATAATAATAATAATACAGTAAATTTCCGATAATCCGGCACCTTTAGGACCCAGAGGGTGCTGGATTATCAGATATGCCGGACTATGGGAAGGCGGGGCTATGAGGGGTCTGGGATGGGGTGAGGGGAATGCCACCCCAGGCCCCTCATAGCCCCCCGCTTCCCCAGCCCGGCTCTGCCCCAGGCATCCCTGATTCAGCCGCTACTGGTCAGTTTCAGCAGCAGCTGAATCGGGGACGCCCGCAGCAGAGCAGCTGGAGTGCTGCCGGGTTGGTCCGGTAGCACCGACCCTTGGCACCGCGAGACCAACCCGGCAGCACCCCAGCTGCTCTTGCGGACGCCTGGGGCAGAGCAGCTGGGGTGCTGCTGGGTTGGTCCCTCAGCGCCACTCCTTGCTCCTTGGCGCTACTGGACCAACCCAGCAGCACCCCAGCTGCTCTGCCCCAGGCGTCCTGATTCAACCCACGCGC